GGTAAACAAAAACATATTCAACATGGCAATGTACAAGTAAACTGAATAAGATATCGATCAATATACGAAAGCAGAATTGTACACGATGAAAGGTAAGCAAAAACATATTTAACATGGCAATAAGAAGCAAATTTAAGCTAAAAACCACGCCACGACAAAGCTTATAAAGCTTCATTTCCCCTGCTCTGCCATGCCCCGACCTGTTAACTCGAGTAATATCACAACAAATCAATCTCAGCTAAGCAAATCAAAACACATTTCTCAAAAAACACAACTAAGCAACGAAATATATAGAATTACAATACTATCAATACCTTCTGTTACCGCGGTTGGGCAATAGAGCACAAAATTATTAAAATTTGATCCAAGAACAGGGAGTCTCTCCTCACGAGCATAATTTTTCAACGCGATATCGATAACATCAGCCACAAGCTCCTTTTCATTAACAACAAAACGAATCGGCCCAGCACTCCCAACAACAGTTATACTAATCAACAACCGATTCCCTTTCCCAGCCTGAATCTTCTTCGTCTTATAAAGCACCATCTTGTTAATTACACTCAAATTCGTTACAAATAAACAAAAATAATAACAGTTTCAATCTATAAGGCCTACGAAGCCACGAAAACAGAGTTTCTCTGGTACGTAGGCCAAATTATGTTTACGTAATGAATGGTTCAAGGATCAACACCAATAGAACGATAATACCAACCTTCTTTACAAGATGCAAAGCAAAATGAAGAAGAAATTGAAATCTCCCTTATTGGAGATGATAAAGAAGTAATCATCAACAAATTCTTGAAAATTTCCACCATCAAAAACGAAAATTTGTAACAAAAGAGATCAAATCTCAAGAAGATGAAGGAAATTTATAGGTTTTTTTTTAGGGTTAGGGATTTAACAAATTTTGGGGATTTTGTATTTTTGGAAGAGAGAGGTGATTAACTCGGATCCTTTACCGTAAGACCCGGGTTCGTTTGTTTTTTAATTTAACCACTTGTCCTTATTTTTCTCTTTTTCAAGTCATTAAAATAGTATGGTACAATCCGCGCACGGAGCGCGGACGTTACTATATCAATTTATTTACGATAGAAGTGAATTTCGATATAAGACTATCAAACGAAAAAAAAAGGATAGAAGTTAAAATTTAATGAAAAATATCACATCGCTAAATAAATAATTGGTAACGATTTAGGGAAAAAGTGTGAATTTATATTAGTAAGAAATGTAAGTAGTTCTTAATTCATGATTATGAGGAATTTGTGTGTGGTTAGTTTCTAAACAAATAAAATGATAACCATTAATATGAAACCAAGAAATCATTGATGCACCTTTTTTATGTTTTTCCATTATTTGCGGATCGATTTAACACAAAGCAAAAGCAAAGTGAATTGAAAGTTGAAACTAAACGTTTCAAATAACCTAAATAACATTTCTCTAATATTCCGCTCCAACAGAAGTGAAATTGCTTCACCTTTTAGCCAGAAATCTAGAGTTCTAGATCTGGATATAGAAAAAATACTGGTGGGAGTACCAAACCTGAATGGCCCCTGTAGAGTTCGATCCAGAATTAGTCGCAGCTCCAATATTGACTTCATCTAGATACGGTCCGGGGAGCTTATGGAAGCAAGCTCCTCGGACGGATTCATAATTGATACATGAGTAATACTACTATACCATGAGTATATAACAATTGTTATAATGAATTTGGTGAAGATTGAGACTGAAAAATGTACACAAGAAAATTTAGATTGTATATATGTGAAAGAACTTAATTCAAGAAACTCCATGAGGTTAAGATCATTGCTGAATACATTTGATCTGTCTGTCAAAAAACAGATTACTGCTTTCATGTCCAGCTAGAGGCATCGAGTAGTAATCCGTGCGCGTAAAATCATCACTGGTCTATTAAAGAGTGCAATTTCTGTCGAAAGACGGGGATTTTGCTAGCGTCTATTGCCATTACCAAGCCAGTTAGCCGATAATCTTTGAGCTGCAAAGTTAGGAGACGAATAAGTGTTTTATTCATGAATGGCAATCAGATGACGAGTATAGTCACAACAGCAATGACTAAGTAGAGAGATTTCCGATAGACCCTTAATTCAAAAGCAAAGTTTTCGAAGCAAAATAGCAACATATAAAGTATATGAAACAGCAGATAGCATCACACATTGGAAGAAACTAAGCCATTACTAACTACTACTACTCAGTAGTTCTGGCAAATACAACTGATTTCAAAACTCTTGTGACTAATGATATATTCTATCGACATAAACATTCACTTGGTCGCTCCTAGGAAGGGTCTTTTTAAGTTGAAAACAGATAAAGCTGCTAAAGGTAACAAAGGCATAGGAGGCATAATCAGAAACCAGAAGGGAGATTGCGCCTTGGTTATTATGAAAGCAGCTCAAACAAATCATATTTATGCCAAGTTTGGGGTTTATACAATGGCCTAAAAGTTCCTGCAGAGATATAATTGAAATTTTTAACAATCCTAACTATGTCTACCCTTCACTTGTAAATCACATCATGTCTTTGAAGAGGCTGATGGGGTCGCCCGAGATCAGATACACATACACCTTCAGGGAAACTAATTTGATTCAATTACCTATCTAGCTTCCTCTCTTGATATCTAGCACCACTGTAACTAGAAAAACATATTTTGGCAGGTAATATTTTGACTTGCTTCGAGAAACTATTTGCTCTTAAGAGCATTGCTACTTCGGTTTTGCATTATTAGAAATTAATAGTTTTCTACTTTAACCAAAAATAAATAAATTATATAGCATGAAGTTGGGTATAATCAGAAGAATTAACCAGAACGAGAATATTATCGATAAAATATCAGCTTCTCCACGAATTGAAGAAAGGGCGAGCAGCTTGTCTTTTAACAGATATTACCCCAATTTTGAAAACTAGGGGTCACAACAAAACACAAACCAAGTTATACTACTACCTTTAGTTCAAATTATTATGGTAACCAAAAGGCTAACATGTTGCAGACATGGTCTCTCAACAAATAAGAACAAATTGCATTTCTACAGTTCTGGGCTATGGACTTTGAGCACTGATATGGCAAATTACTGTTTTATAAATATTTTGTTCTTAGATAATAACAGAGTGATGCATGTAGTAGACCCTTTCAATTAATCTTAGCCTCTATCCCAATTGAATGACAGTGAAACATATACAAGTGACATATTACGTTGGTGTTCTCTTTGTGTTTTCTCCAATATACGGAATTTGACTAATTGCAGTAAATCAATACATACATACATATATATATATATATATGTACTAACAAACATAAACGACATAAAAAAAATACATAAAAGCTTGATATTATGAGAAAAGCACTTGCCTCGTCAGTCCTAACCAGCTGTGTATGCAAAGGAAAACTGAAGGACCAAGAGCTTAACTGAAGAAACATTTACAGGAAGAATCAGCGACGTTGCAGCAAAAAAGGCAAGAAATAATAATAAAAGTAAAAATAAACGATGGTACCTCGTGAAAGATTTCGTCTTCTGCTTTAATGTATACAATAGATTGATCACCACTTGGTCCATTTTGCTTGTCCGCATTCTTATGCTATAAGAAAATCCATCAAGCAGCAGACAATTTAATGTCTAGTAGGCTTTAATAAATCCATACTGAAATACCAAAAAGGTACGAATAAGCCTTACCTTGTAGATTTTACTGATTACTAGGTAAAACTTGAAGCAGAAAGAACTCCGGAGCTCCTCTGTAGGCTTAAAGACATAAGAATGACAAAAGTTTCACTACACCAAGGTAAAGCTATATTCACGAGAGAAGAAACGGCAGACAGAAAACAATACGAGCATTTGAAAATAATTCATAATGTTCATCCATCTAACCTCATCCTCTGTAGCCCAAGAGACTTCATCAAAAAGTGCATCATAAAGGGGTGGCAAAAGCTGGGGAGGAAGATTCAGAACACGTTGAGAAACTATGAGACCAACATCCTTGGCTTGGTCTCCGAGAAATAAACTCAATTTAGAGAACACATCCTTCTGGCAGCATGCTTTAAGCAGGAACTCTTTAAGGTCCGCAATGCACTCTAGATCCTATTTTTAGACAATCAAAGCCAAACAAACAGTGAATCTGCGAGAATACAAGGAGTATGACACTAAGAACATTATGAGCTCCTGTACAGAACTATAAGCATTTAGCATATTTAGCGCTGGACAAAAAAATGGGAACTCAGAAGCATCTCCAGACTCGGATGCCAAATTTGACATCACAGGCCGGGTGATGTGGTGACAAAATCTTAGCATAACATGGATGTAGCACATAAAGTGCTGGCTTCTTACCTTATATCTACCCAAGTTAAGAGCAGTGACAATGGAGTAAATACCATCATCTTCATCATTCTCTATTTTAATAACAGTTCCCACTGTGGGTTGACCCAGTATTACATCCACAAAACCACTCAAATCCCATTGCTTATCATCAAGGTAGGTCTGCAGCAGGATTTTCACCCCATGAAAGTCACTTGGTTTTGGATCAAAGAACTCGAAATCTGCTTGAACAGTGCCCTTTCAAAACCAAAGTAGAAGCTGTTAGTGTACTGACATCACATAAGAAAAATCATTTACCAGCAACGACCGATGGAATGTCTTACATCAAACTCCTCATCATCTGAAGAACCGGAATCTTCACTTTTGTCTATTAGTTCGTGATTTTCCATCCTTTTACCTAAGATGGAAAACATTCCGCTTCAGAACAAGAAATTGAAATGGATCACTGTGCTCATAATAAGTTTTCATGAGATAGAAAACTTAATCAAAATACTTCACCTGAAGAGGTAGGTAGATTATTTCCTGGAAATCTGGGATTTTGGACCTTGTGTGCAACCTTGTTATTTGAGGCAATCCGTGCCATTGAACGAGCAAATGGAGAGAAACTTAAAGGTAGACATCGCGCTGGTCTGCAATGTCTTGCTGGCTTTCGGGGCATTATACAAATTAGGCAAACCTGAATATACAAGTTGTCATTTTCTAATGGTCTATGATATAATATTGAGAAGCAGCCTCGAGAAGTTGCAGAGCTTAAGATACAGCGGAAAACACAGATGACTCCTTTAAATTTCTAAGATTTAACAGATGGAACAGTAAATGGACACTATAATTAACCTTATTACTTATTGTAGTAAAATAGTCTCTCAGAATATTCACGGATATCAGTTCAAAAAGATTTGAGAGCAAATTGTCAGCAAAAAAGAAGTATAATCTTGAGGTTTATACGCACTCTCTTTTTCCCTGTAATAACCGTCCAAAAAAGAGAATTAATGATTACGTTCTACGGTAAATGCTCTATTTCTATTTGTCTCTTTTCTTGCCTATCCTATATAACTCCATCACATCAACTGGACTGTCACTCATAATAATACAATAAAAGCCATCTCTTTCAGCAGGGTTTATTGTGTTCTATAAAACAAGAAGTATGCACAGAGATATGAGCTTCAAATATGAGGCACATAAGATAAAGCAGCAAACTTTTACATGTCATAAGTAAATTAAGAACTTTAAGATGACAAACTCCCTTTCTCTAAGTACAACAACATTATTTAACACATAATAATGGTTTATGGTTTAGCTGAAAATGCAACAATACAGTTGTGGGTGAGAGGTGACATGTATCTCGTGGAACTAGTCTGGGTGCACAAATGCTGATCGGAACACCATAGTCAAAAAAAAAGAAAAATACCCAACAATGCAAACTCCAACTACAGCAAAAATCACAAACCCCAACACCTAATTTCAATTCTTGACAGAAAAAAAAAAGCAAATTTGAGCATAAAAAAGTCCCCTCCAGCAACAAATGCAAATCAAGTAAAACTAAAAGCAAAAACTACTACTAGAAGAGAATCATAACAGAAATAGAATTACGTACTGACGGAAAGGTGGAAAAGGTGCGCCGGCGGGGAAAGCTCTGGCGACGAGAATGGAGGCCGGAGGGGAGTACGGCAGGGTTTTAGTTTCTCCTGATTCTGTCGAGGGGGCAGGGGTTTTAAGAGTCCTCAAAGTTTTTAAACAAAGCAAATTTAGTCCCTTTAATTTGTAATTATTACTCTCGTGGATAGTCTCATTATTTTTGTATTTTTATCGTAAATAAAAATTGTTTTTTTCAAACTTTACAAATGAAACATAATCAAACAT